ATTAACTTGCTTACTAATATAACAGATACCCTAACTTAAGTCACACAAATCTTAAGCGACTTATGTACAACTTATTTTTGAGCACGAGATATATTGGTATTGAGCACAATTGTACTTGACTATAAGTTGTAATAAACAAACATTACTTCTACATTATCACACAAGTCACACTGGCATGTACCAACAGGACCCTAAACCTAAACATATTTTGAAAAGAAGATATATTTAAAATTTAATTTTTATGTATTTTTAAGTCCTTTATTGTATTTACGTGATTCTTTTTATTTATTATCTTGTTTCTATAATTAATTTTCATATCTGCTTTCGGCGTCACCTAATTATGATATCTGTTACATACTTTAATGCTTAGTCAATTAATTTCTATTTGATAGATTTTCCGAAATGTCTTCATGCTTTTAAGACTGGTACCCTGTGTCAGCTTCTCTGCGATTATTGGCCTTAACTAACCAAAATTTGACGAGGGTATACAGGAATAAAAGTATGCGACAGTAGACTGCTAATAAAATAATATTTAAAAAGTATAAAATTAGTTAAATGATGTCGTTTTATAAAAATAGTAAATCATATGGTAATATTGTAAAAATATAAATAATTATAAAATGGTACATATTATCAAGGCCTCTATCTTATTATTTTAATTTTATATTAGTCAATGTTGTAAATAATGATGATTTGATTCGTGAACACTTGGTTGGCAGCTAGAAATCAATTCTAGAACGTAGAAACCTGTGTAGGCAAACATGGGAAGCATGTAATCAAAGTACCATGAGGTATCCAGAACGCTGCGCTGTTTTGACGTAGAACAGTCGAGGGAAACAAACAAGAGCAAGAACACGGACACTCCACACAGCAAGTGTAACTGTGAAAGGGAGTTTTTTTGGTCCTATGAGAGAGAAATATAGAAGAATCAGAGAAGGAATTGATATCACTGATGAGGGTTCAGTTAATGAGGTCTGGTCCCCTAGCGAACTGCAATTATTGGACTCTTGTCCTTTGTAAAACAGTAAGACTAAAAGCAACATATGCTCATGTCGTCTTCGTCAACTGTGACATTGCTATTATAGTAAAAGCTCTTAGCGTTAAGAGAAAGTTTGTTATTCTCAGATAAATGCTTTATGTAGGAGAAAATTTTCGTCAAAATAGTCCAAAATATATATTGTTATTTTGGTCTCACATAGTAGTCTAATGTTATACTTACAACTTGGTGCTTAGGTTTGGATTTTTAGCAATATTGATGTTTTATAACCTTTTCTTTTTTTTGTAAAAGTTAAGCAAGATTTTGATTTAAATATATTTTTTCCTTTTTTTTATGTGAATTCTATTTATCTAATTATAGAAAAAGAACTATAAAACTTTCCTGCAAATTCACTTACGAAAATATTCACATAAATATTTTCTGGTAATTTACCGACAAAATTATCATGCAATTTTATCAGCAGATATTACCTGCAAATGCTTTTGGAGATTTTTATTATTACTTTTTGTTGCAAAAGAATTCAGACAAAAATTATCTGCAATTTTTTATCTAACAAATATGCAGGATTTGTTTTGAAAATTAACATTTTTTATACAAAAGCTATTCTCGTAATAAAATCAACTTTTTTGTCGCAGATTCAAATTCACAGGAAATGCGTTTTATTGTGAATTTTCAATCATAGTTTGTTAATAATTTCACAAGAGAAGAACAATTTCTTAGAAGTGGACAAATTTTCTGTAACTTTATAAAAACTTTTTAAATTTCTTTTTGCAATTTTCAATGTCAATCACCATTATGAGTACTACTGCCGTTTTGGATGTGATACTAATTAAGTGCTTGTTCATGAAGTGCGAACACAGTTACAATTCCTTTCCGGAATGATGGAGATTGAAACTTACACGTCTGTGCAATAATGAATCTTTTTAATTTTGAATTTCAGTTCAATTATAGATATATTCTTATAAAACTCGGTTGATTTTTTTGCAAAGAAAGCTACTTCTATTGTCAAGGAAGATATTTTCTATAAATCAAACAAAGACAAGGGTTATGGCCATCTTACCCGCCTTTACTATTTTTCATCTAATCTCTTTTTGCACCTTTTTCAAAAGAAAAGAACTATCTTTATAAAAAGCCATAGAACAAAATATACTTTCTGAAAAGGTGAATTCTTGCTTAGGTAATTGTGATAAACTTTATCAAATTGAAAATTATATATATATATATATATATATATATATATATTTGTGAATTCTTACATTTTTTCATAAATTTAGAAAAGCTTACGAGCAATATGGATCGTTAATTGAGATAAGATAATTAAAAATGCAAAAAGGAAAATAGGTGATACAATAAAATTTATCAAAAGATGTATTAGTAATCTAATATATATATTTTCCTCTTTCTCTTTCATTCTCCTCCCCACTAGGACATGAATTTGTTCATTCTCTGTTCTCTACTATTGCTACGCAGCTAACTACCGCTATTTTTTCTTTTGCTTTGTGGTTATAAATATTGATTCACACCATTGAGGATTTGCAAATGACAAAATCATTTTCACTAAAAAAATACTAAAAAAGTTAAAAAAAATGTTAAAATTTTGGAGGAAAAAAGTTTGTCTAAACTCCTTTTGGGCATTTAGGTTGAATAAATCTTAAAATGTTTATATAAAATAGATGTATAATTTGCATTAACCTAAGTTCTATGCTAAAACTTATGCCCTCTCAAAATTTACAACGTTAAAAACAACAAAATATAAAATTTTTTACTACTTTCTACGTCGATTCTTCAAATCATCTTACTTTCTACATTATTCCCTTATCATGCCAAAATCGCCTCTAACTCAACGAGCTCATCACAAAACTCAAACTCACTCTCGACAACGTCAACAAATCTAAGTTTTACATAACCCAAATAGAGTTTCAATTAAGGCAATTGCGGATACTTTTCTTAGGTTGGAGTGGGTCAAACCGCAAATGGAGGTAACAAACAATAATTATTTGACTTTGCTTATTTTTAGGTGATTCTTAGGTCCTCCCATTCACTTCCATAAGTAAAGGTTTTAACAAAGTAATGCTTTTCAATAAGAAAATATAGTTGATTATCAACCGTTGATCTGATTTCATGTTAAATGAATGTTTAAGATTTAATGATTTGTAGATAAATATTTTGGGTAATAACAGGTAGGTGAAGGAAAAATTAGTAATTGTCGTTTCTCCTTCATCTCTTTCCTCCTAAGCTCTCTGCAACTCCTCATCTTTCATCTCTTTTCTCCCCTCCCAACTTCTATTCCCAAACAGTTTTTTGTCAAAACAAGCAAAGTCGAACAATTATTATTTGTTATCCATATTTGCAGTTTAATCCACTCCAACCCAGGAAAAGTACTTGTAGTTACTTTGGTTAGAACTCAGTTTGGGTTGGGTAAAATTTAATGTTTGCAAGAGTGAGTTGGAGTTTTATAGTGGGTGAGTTGACTTAGGCTAAGTCTCGGGTCAATCGGGCCTGAACAAGAGATTAACTACTTTTTATATTGGTTACTTTGAAGAACATATGTAAATAGTCATGAAACTTTCTACAATTTGTTATCTTTAAGGTTATAAACTTTGAAGTAACATAACTTTTAACATAATATTTTGATTTATACATATTATATGTGTATTTTACAAAAACAAATTTGAGATTATTTAACTTAAACTTTTGAAGGTGGTTTGGACAAACTTTTTTTTTCCTAAAATTTCAATATTTTCTAAATATTTTCTATTTCTTTAGTTATATATATAGAGAGAGAGAAAAGGGTTTTGTTATTTGTGATGGTGTCAATGAAAATTTATAACTATGGAGAAAAAAATTTGTGTTATCTAAAGGAGAATAAAAGATGCAAAAGAAAATATACATTAAATTATCAATATATCATTTGATAAATTTAAGTTGTATTACTAGTTTTCTATTTTATATTTTTAATCATTTGATCTTAATTAATGGTCTAAAATTTTAAAAAAATGTTTTTATTTTTTTAAATTTATAGGAAGACATAAGAATCTACCAATTTTTTTAAGTGTTTTATATTTGATTATTATATTAAATTTAACTTATCTAAATAAGTAAACTTTTTTTGAGAAAGAGGAAAAAACTTCAGTGCTTTCTTTTCATTCATAAAATTCTCACCTAGTAAATTATTCAAGGAGAACCATGTTTCTTATATTACATATACCGACAAACCTCAGCAAAAAGGTATTTAGATTAAACTTCTTTTTAAATTTTATTCTTTAAAATTTAATCATTAAATCATTATTCATGTTTTAATTATCAAACTTTTGAATTTTAGCCTTTAAGACTAATTTTAAGTATGAAAAAATATTTTTTAAAATATTTATTATACTTTAAAGTTTTTATGTAATTAATACATTGTTTTGATAAACAAAAAATATATCACTTTAAATTATTTAATCTTAATCTTAAAATCTGAAATTAATATATTTCATTAAATATTTGGGGAGCTTTTTATTGGTCCCTTAAGTTAGTTATTTTATGGTGTTATAATTTCTTTTAAATAAACACCGCTATAACTTTTTTTTTCTCTTTCTAATTTATCTTTGATTACAATTATAATAATGAGACTAACTCAAGTTAATGGCCGCAAATAGATAAAATGCTCCCTCTAACATAACAATTTCAAAATTTAAACACTTTATAATATTCCTTCAATTTTTTAGTTTGTATATTTATTCGCTGTAACATTCATTCTCATTTCTCATCTAGCCTTTAAACAATTCTTTTCAAAAGAATATAAATTTCACGTATATAAATGTGACAATGAAAAATATTGTATTTCATATTTAATAATCATGCATATATTTTATTAGAATTCTCCTTTTTCCCAAACTTATTTTATAACTAAAATTATTAATATTACTCTTTCAAGAAGAGCTGAATTGTTGAGATCACAGTAGATTATTGAAAGCGCCTAACAACCATGCATACCCACTTGCTATAAAAGCAGGCATTCATAAATGACTTTAAGCTTTTTGGTGAAAGGATTAGGAGACCCATTTCTGTTCTTCCCTTTCACTCGAACGTTTTAGCTTCCTCCATTTTCATGTAAGGAAAAGTATGCTAGCTACTAATTATTTCTTTAAATGAGTTACCGAAATACATATTACAAAAAAAAATGTCACACATATTGTTTCTCTTCTTTCTTTTTCTTTTACCATGTAAATTTAAATATTAACATGTCTCTGCGATGTTTTTTCTTTTTTTTTTTGGTTTGTACTTGTTATGTTTGTAGTAAAATACAGCATGATCAAAGCTTGGATTCTTGTACTTGTGATCTTCTATAGTAGCTTTCTTCCAAAAGGAACCGGCAATGTTTCTCCAAAACCAGGTACCGTTAACATTGGGGCAATTTTATCTGTCAACTCAACAATTGGCAAAGTGGCTAAAGTTGCCATACAAGCAGCAGTGGATGATATAAATTCCAACGCAGCAATTCTCAATGGAACTAAGCTTAACATTTCAATGCAGGACACGAAAATCTCCAATGGATTTCTAGGAATCATTGATTGTACGTCCTAATCAAACACATCACACCTTTGCACGTTTCTCCACACAAACATATTTCTCAATCACTACCTTGTTGATTTTTTATTTTTTTTATACAGCGTTTCTATTGATGGAGAGTGACACAGTGGCCATAATTGGTCCCCAGTACTCAGTTATGGCGCATGTAATTTCTCATATTGCAAATGAGATGCAAGTGCCTCTACTTTCATTTGCTGCAACAGATCCTACACTGACTTCACTACAGTTCCCATATTTTGTAAGGACTACACAGAGTGATCTATATCAGATGGCTACTGTGGCAGAAATTGTTGATCACTTTCAATGGAGAGATGTGATAGCAATTTATGTTGATGATGATCATGGAAGAAATGGGGTAGCTGCATTAGGGGATAAGCTAGCAGAGAAACGTTGTAAAATATCATATAAAGCAACCTTTAGGCCATATAATGTTACCCGAGAAGAAATAAACAGTGCATTAGTTAAGGTAGCTTTAATGGAGTCTAGAGTAATAGTCCTTCACATATACCCTTCTTTTGGTCTGGAAGTACTTCATGTGGCTCAGTCACTTGGCATGATGCGAAGTGGTTATGTGTGGATAGCCACAGATTGGCTTTCTACAGTACTAGATTCAAATCCATCATTGTTCACAACTCCAACTACGAATGATATCCAAGGTGTTATCACCTTGCGCATGTATACCCCAGAATCAGAAATCAAAAGAAAATTTATTTCTAGGTGGACCAAACTGAGCCAGGTAGAAGATCCTACTCATAGTCCATTGGGGTTAAATATTTTTGGTCTATATGCCTATGACACTGTTTGGGTTCTTGCCTATGCACTTGATGCGCTTCTCAAGGATGGGGGAACTTTGTCATTTTCAAATGATTCAAGTCTAAACATTTTAAGAGGGGACACACTTCATCTAGATACTATGGGGGCCTTTCTTAATGGTAGCACGTTGCTGAAAAAAATTTTAGAGGTCAACAAAACTGGCATTACAGGGAAAATGATGTTTGATTCAGATGGAAATTTAATGAATCCATCATATGAAATCATTAATGTGATAGGTAGTGGAATTAGGACGATTGGTTATTGGTCTGAACCCTCTGGCCTCCATTCTGGAGAATCTCCTAATCATTCCAATTCTAGTGAAGGACTGTATGGGGTCATTTGGCCCGGTCAAACAACTAAAACACCTCGTGGTTGGGCTTTTGCAAGCAATGGAAGACCCTTAAGAATTGGGGTGCCACTTAGAATTAGCTACCCTCAATTTGTGACAAGAATTGAGGGTACTGAAATATTTAGTGGTTATTGCATTGATGTGTTCAATGCTGCCTTAAACTTGTTGCCTTATCCGGTTCCCTATAGGTTTATTCCCTTTGGTGATGGTAAAACCGAGCCGTCAATTTCAGACCTTCTTCACATGTTCACAACCGGTGTGAGTACTTCAAGTTTTCATAATCTGTCTTTCTTCACTTTTGTATCCTATTGCTTTGTTTCGTTTTAAATTTTTGCATTGCAATTGCTTCTTTTATGTGTAGGCCTATGATGCCGTGGTGGGGGACATTACAATTACCACAAATAGAACTAAGATAGTGGATTTTACACAGCCATATATTGAGTCTGGGCTAGTTGTTGTGGCACCTATCAAGAAGTTGAAATCAAGTGCTTGGGCTTTCCTCACACCATTCACTCCAATGATGTGGTTTGTGACAGGAATGTTTTTCTTAGTTGTGGGAGTTATTGTTTGGATTTTAGAGCGTCGTGTAAATGATGACTTTAGAGGCCCAGCTCGAAGACAATTTGTCACTATTATTTGGTACAAAATCATCAATCGATCACTTGGATTGTTATCTATTGCTAACACATCTTAATCGTTTATCTTTGCTGCAGGTTTAGCTTTTCAACCCTATTTTTTGCACATAGTAAGTAGTTGAACCTTTTCTTTAGCCATTTTTCCTTGGTGTTTTCTAATGTAGAGAACAGAAACTCAATTTCTTAAAACCAATCAACCTTAAAAGTGTAAGCTATAGCGTGGAAGCTAATGAATGATTTTTCATCCAACACATTTTCTGACACAGATGCCTTTTCCACCTTTAAGAGTGGACAATACATTCATTTTACCTATATTCAATTTTGAACATGGAATTGCAAGTATCCAATTCATGATCACATGAACATAAAAGCTTTAGTACCATATCAATAATTAAAAAGTTCCTGAAAACACGTAATAAGAAAGCTGAAAAGTGGGGTTATAGAATTGATTTTGATATCCTAGAAAACCCCTTCTATGCAGGAGAGAAAACTGTCAGCACCCTTGGTCGCTTAGTGCTAATCGTATGGCTATTTGTGGTTTTGATACTCAACTCTAGCTATATTGCAAGCCTTACTTCCATCCTTACAGTGGAACAACTCTCCTCTCCAGTTAAAGGAATTGAAAGCTTAGTAACAACCAACGACCGCATTGGTTTCTGGAAAGGTTCATTTTCTGAAAATTATCTAACTGAGGAACTCAACATACACAGATCCAGGCTTGTTCCTCTCAACTCTCCATCAGAATATGAAAAGGCCTTAAAGGATGGACCAGCAGGTGGTGGTGTTGCGGCAATAATAGATGAACGTGCTTACTTGGAGCTCTTCCTAGCAACCAGATGTGAATTTAGTATTGTCGGTCAAGAGTTCACCAAGATGGGATGGGGTTTTGTAAGTGCATAAATCCATTTCTTTTTGTGCTTGAAGATGTCTAAGAATATTCTTTCTAAAATTTGAAGATACTATTTATGTGTACAGTGCATTTCTATTCTCGTACCTAATTTTTGTTCTCTCTTAAGTCTTCTTAACAAAGTTTAATATGGAAAGATAAGGAGATTCATTTCACTTGTCGACGAAATAAAGGTGGATCAGGCACGAAAATCAACAAAAATTTAAAATCTATTTTTTAAAACTTATAAGGGCATCATTAACTGATAAATTCATAGGAAGCATGTGAATCCCACACAGTATTATAATAAACTATTGATTATCTATCTCTATACACTTAGTAGACCAAGTCCATCTTAAAACGGTTAAATTCATTCTGGTGCTTACGATCATCATATTGTCGACAACAACTTAGTTTGAACATATTTTAAATGTTATATGCAGGGCTTCCCAAGGGAATCTCCTCTAGCCATTGACTTGTCAACTGCAATCCTAAAACTATCAGAGAATGGTGAGCTTCAGAGAATTCATGACAAATGGCTAACAAGAAGTGCTTGCAGCTCGGAAGGTGCAAAACAAAGCATCGATCGACTTGAGTTAAAAAGCTTTTGGGGTCTCTTCTTACTGAGTGGCATAGCATGCTTCATTGCTCTCCTTTGCTATGTTATTAAAATGGTCTATCATTTTAGCAGGCACTCCAACAGTAACCTTGAAGGATCATCACACACTACTCGTCTTCAATCATTCTTTACCTTTGTGAATGAAAAAGAAGAGGAAGACATACAGGCCACAGACAAGGCAAATGGAGAAGTGCTCTTGTAGTAAGGTAGTAATGAAGATAGATATTTGGATTTGGATGACTAAAGTGTTCGCGTCCATGTCACTGCCTAAGGTCGACTATCAAAACATGTACTAAATCTAGAATTACTTGTAATTTAACACCTTCAATAGTTATCAACCGTAAACAATGCTAATCAGTAGAAAACTAGGTTGACTTTTTCGCGAACGTCTTATTCCATAACATTGCAAACTTGGCGATGGGTATTTATCCCATTCCACAAAAGACATGAATCTGTGATAGCAGGACTCTCTTTTCCAATTGAACACCCTACTCCTACCGGTCCAAACATCACCCGACAGCCAAACTAATGACAGACCACAACTTTAAAGGGTTCTTTCATACTGCAGAGTCCAAGATGCTGCAAAATAAATGATGTTTTGCATCTAAAGGTAAGACTAAACCCTAACCGGCAGTGCTAACATGAGTGCCAAATCACATGCACTATTTTACATGAAAAGAAAAGGTGTTCCATTGCTTCTTCTTCCTCATTACTTAAAACACAAAGATCAGTGTCATCAAGTAAAGGAACTCCCTTGGATGATAAACTCTGTCTTGTTAGAAGTTTACCCGAGATTACTCTCCACGCTAGTGCCCCCCACTCCTATAGAAAAGGAAAAGAAGAAGAAGAATGATGGCAGGACCGAATACCAAAATAGCAAAATTAGGGTTAAAAGTTCTTTGTCTTATTAATCAAACTCCTATTTGTATTATATTATATTTTTAAAAACAGAAAACATCTTTTAAAACAGAAATTAAACATGCTCTTAATTTTGGACTATTCTGGCTCTCCAACACTTGAACGTCTTCGGCCTAGCAACAGCAAATAAGCTTTACTACATTCAAATTTGGATTTGATATGACAAAGTTTTCATTTTCAGACTCTGTAGACTCTTGTAATTAATCAAATTTGTTCGCAATTTATTATAAAAGTTGTAGCACTGGATGTTAACTTTCATTTGGCATTAGCCCCACCCAGTTTGGATACGTATAGCTCAAGATACGAGCTTTAGATGATGCGAAGGTTAAAATCCGAAAACATCAGACGATGCAAGAGATGGTGCACCAGACGATGCAATACAGAAGGCTCTTTTAACTCATTTTTCACCGAGATAGAAATCAAATTACGTGTTGAGTAAAGAACTTAGGAGTTGTGGATCTTTCTCTTATCTTTCAAACGACATAGTATCCACCAAAAGGATAAGTACAGCTAAAGATATGCCATTTTAGACAATGTGAAGGTCATACTGTGTAAAAACTATGAACTGCTCTTTCATTCCATCGAACGATCCTTCTTGCATTTGTAGAAAGAGAGAAGGTTATAAGGGATAAATCTATGAAATTAAACATATAGTTTTTCACAAAGATCTAATTGAGCAGTTGTTTCAAATCTCAACCACATCACTCTAATCAAGCATGAAATCAGTTTAAAAATGGGTTAAGTTAATTATTAATTGATCAATCGTCAAAGACAAAACGTGCAAGAACTGTTAATAAATATTGAAAATATCTTATTTCTATTAAAAACCAGAGTTTTGTTAGCTTAGGGCTGAGTTTAAATATTAACGGGTAGAAATTTTTTATAAAAAAAATATATAATTATTATATTAAAGTTATAAATATTTTTTTAATAAAATTTTTCTATTATTAATGCTTATTGTATCTTTTCCATCTAATAGCTAATTCTCTCAACTATTATATTGAATGGTTAAAAAAAAATTGTCTTTGAAAAGTATTTTCTGACATCCTACCCTTACCCTTACCCTTACCCTTACGCTTTATCTTTCCACAATTTAGTGTTTTTCCTATTTCCAACCTTCCTCTTAATATTTGAACAAAATCCGATGTTGTTACCCATGGGCACCTTTCTGACTTCCCTAAATCCCTCTTTTCTCCTTTATAAAAACCAATGGTATTCAATTCCCCATACTCTGAAGACTGAAATTTGACCCAAAAAATATCATCTTCTTTCAAAATCTTCCAGTCTCACTTACTCAAGCACACTTTACAAAGCAATTATATGTGAAACTACTCACCTGAAACAGCTCTTGAAATTAATTTTTAAGAGTAGTTATGTTATGACAACTTCTCTCTAAAGGTTAGCCACATTTTATTTTATATTTTATGCCAAAAATTTATTTATTCTATTTTTATCAATATCATCTACTCCACTATTTGATATTTTATATTTTTACATATATTTATATTTCTCCATCTATTATCTTTATTATTTATACTTTCTTTGTTAAAATCATAATAATTATATAATATCATATAAATTATTTAAAATTCACATAATTAAGAAAAAATATTAAATATTTTGACAAAGTTTTTCCTATTTCAACTTTCTGATATTGTCAAACACATATATAGACCAAGTATTATTACAATAAAAAAATTAAATTTTTTTTTTTTATAAAGTTTACCTTAACTTATTAAACATCTCCAAAGTTCCAAGCAACAATACATATGAAAGAGAATTGAAGCAAAGCATTTAAATAATTTAAATAAGAAAAATCAAAAATAAATGTGAGGGATTATATACATTTATGTCTACAAATAAATTTAAAAATATAGTTTACACAATGTTTCCTTAAAAAATATATTGTATAAATATGCACACCTCTCCCTCTAAAGCTATTTAATTATCTTATAAGAAATGTAGAAAATCAAAATGATAAAAAATACTGAATATTTACAAATATGTGAAATAAAGGTAAAACTTGATGAATTTAAGGAAAAAAAAATTATTAATGTCAAAAGAGAATGGATTTCTTAGATTAACTGGGATCTTAATTTGTTCATGCTACAAAGTGCGCCAAATAAAGAAACACTCATAATATTTTCAGTTAGTGCCATTTATTTGCTTTAAACACTTTATAGAAAACTAAAAAATCAAGAGCATGTTTGATTTACTTTTTAAAAACTAAAAATAATTTTTAAAAAGCAAATCAAACATACTCTAAATTTATTTTATTTTTAATTATTTAAATATATGAATTTAAAAATAATTATTAAAATAAATAAAAACTTATATATACATTTTATTTTCAATTAATTACCCTAAAACATCCATGATACTTGGTGAGTAGCAGGTGGTGGAATTGGACGCCAACACGAAGCAGAAAAGAAGGCCCCACAAATTGCGTGCAGTCACTACTACATCGTGCTGCAACAGAAATTGATGAATTGTCAATCCACCACTCAACTTGGATATCTATGTAACGTCCAATTGCTGGCCGGATTGTACAATGAGAGTTGAAAACAAAAATTGACTCCAAATGATATTTTCTGTGCAATTCTTAAACTTGGCGGACTTGTAATTTTTTTAATATTTTAAAAATTACAAAGTATTTATATATTTTAAATAAATTACTAATTCTACTATTAGTTATAATTATTTCATATGTAAGAGAAAATAAAATAATTAATAATTACATGCATCAATATGAAAATGACATTTTATTTAAATTATAGACTATTTTGATAAATTTTCAAAATTATAAAAATTAAAATAATTAATGATTGCATGAGATCAAAGTTAAAATAACGTGTTAATTAGTTTAAGGATTATTTTATTAAATTTTAAAAATAAACTAAATTAATAATTTACTGAGTATTTCTCAAAAACAATATCTTTGTGGTTCAAAACGATTTTAAAGAAAAAACAGTATTGACACTTTAAATAGCAACAAAATTAGCCGTTAGATGATTTTTATGTATAAAGTATTAATGTATATTATTAAATAAAGAAACTTTTAAACATAATTAAGAGTATATTATATAATCATTTAAAATTTTAAAAGAGTAAATGTTGTAATATATGAAGTAAATAGATAATTTTTTTATTTTAAGAATTTATGAAAAATTCAAATTTTAAATAAATACTAAACTAAAAAATATCCCACAATTCTAAGTAATTTCCCTATATTATATTTATTTTTAGTTCAATATTATTTTGACTATCTCTATTCAATTTAATTACATTCAAATATTCTTATTACTAATTATAATACTTAATTATTTTAAATTTATAAAATGTAATAAATTTTAAACTAATCATATATTATATTTTTAATTATTTAAAAAATTATAAAATTCTTAATACGTGATTTAAGAATTGTTGTGGTTTAAAACGCCATAAAATCATTTTTGTAGACAACGCACATAATTATCACAAATTCATGGATGTGAATTTTATTTTCTTTTGTTTTTTGAGAAATTTTAGCAAACATATTTTAGAACACATTTTTTAATCAACTTTTATATACTTATTCTATTTTTAAAAAAATTCAAATAATTTGTTTCCTAAATTAATTATTTTTCAAAATTACTTATATTTTTGGAAAAATATCAATTACATGATATATATTAAAAGTTACGTTACTAGAATATTTTCTTATAATCATGAATAGAAATTTTAGTTGAAAGTGTTAAACAAAACTTAAATACAGTTTGTTGATATTATTTTTTAATTATTTTTAAAATTTTATCTTAATAATCTTCTGTAACATTATATATATATATATATATATATATTATTAAAATAAATTTATTATTTTAATTAATAAACCTTACAACAGAACTTAAATATTTTCCGTCATTATCCGGTTCGGTGGAGAGTGAGTGTAATCCTTAAGCACTTAGCGGAGGGCCCATTGACCATTAGCTATTATTAATTGTATGGGGAAAATGTGATCAATTGTTTATTTCACATCACTGTTCATACGTTTTCATTTCATTTTCGCAGTTTAAATCATTCTCCCCGAATAAGTGTTTGAGAAATTAATTTAACTAGAAGTCAACCTTGTAAAGCATGGGTTTATTTTGAAAATTCTTTTTTGAAAGACTTTTTATTTAATTGAAAATTAAGATAAAATATCATAATTAATTAATTATGAATAATATTTTAAGAATTATGTTCATATTTATTACTTAAATAAAAAAATACTTTGAATATACAACCTTTTATAATTTAATTAGTCACCATAAACTAATTATAGATATTTAATTATCAAGTATAGTATTTAATTTACAGTCATACATAAGATTGATAATTGTTTAAAAAAAAACTGAAAATACACTCAAGTAAAGAGTAAAAATTTGTCAAATTTGCTTATGTAGTTAACTAATAGAAGTTAAAGTAATTTAGGTGGCATATCAAGAATTTGCATCTCAATTTTTATCTATTATAATAGATATATAAATTTTGATTTTCATGACAAATAACCATTTAATTGTTATATTGACATTTTTATTTTAAATTTATATCTGCATCATTTGTTTTTGTTATATATAACTTTTGTGTAGGGAAAGTACCTACAAATGATATATATATATATATATATATATATATATATATATATATATTCTTAAAACATCCCAGTAATAATGGAGTTAATATTACAAAATAAGTATTAGATAAAAAATATTCAATATCTTTATAATATATAAAAATATTTAGAATGATATAGAGATTTTTAAAATAATTATAGATATATAGAAGATAGGACTATAAATTTTCATATAAAACTAATATATTATTTGTTGGATTTATTTCTGTGTCACTTCTTAATGCTTAATTTCCAAAACATTTAGCTGTTTTGTAATTTTTCACTAAAAATGGTGCCATAATTGAATAGAATTTTTTTAGGCTCTTTTGTCCCAGATTTTGGTTCTCTTCTAATATTTTTACAAGTGTTTAGATGAGTTTATACAAAATTTATTTAATATTATAAAAATAACATAATTTATTTAAATTTGGTGTTTTAGTTTAATAAACTTGTAATAAGTGGCCTTATGGAACATAAACATAACTTAATTTGTGTTTTCCCACCAAAATATTTTGACCTGAATTGTGAATTGCAGTAATTGGCACCACCAGCTTCATCGCATTTCACAGCAATAAACAGAGTGGCCTGAGGGAAGAGCCCCAAGGGAACAGAGAGAGAGGTGCACATCACACTCACATCACACTTGTGCTTGTGTTTAATGTGGACACTGGATGAGGACATTCTCCTACAACAACCTTTGCCACTTCAAACCCAAAGATATAGATGCTAAGGTCCCTTTTGGCCTTTTAATTAATATAAAGCAAAAGGAAAAGAAAGAAACAAGAATATCCTCAGGTGATTCAGCTTTAATTTCTAGGAACATTATCATCAACAGCACCAGCAGTTATATTTCCTTTTAAGATCTACCCTTTTTCTTCTCCTCCCAATTTTCTATTCTTTTGGAAAATCTTATCCTGATTCCCATTTTGGTTCCCTCTTCAAGTAAAGTTGATCTTTTATTATTATTATTATTATTATTATTATTATTATTATTTTGGGTATATATGTAAAGTTGATATTTTTATTCTCAAATTGAACCAAACGTCAAGATTTCTGTACCATTTTGCTGCTAAATGTAGATATCAGCTACTTTGTAAAAAATCAGGTACTTTCATCCTTTTGAATAAAGTTCTAATCTTTACGTGTGACTTTTTTCTTCTTGCAATCTGATACTTTTTGGCTTTAATGGCTGGCACTTGCTTTATTCTTTCCCATCTTATTTCTGTGTAAGTGATGCAGATTGCATCTTTGTGCCTGTGTTTCTGTTTTGGGTTACTTTGCCTGGAACTAACTTTAGACTGTTAGTACCAACCAAGGTCTTGATTGGGAGCTACACTTCATGCTTAGTGCCTTTTGTTTAAACTTTAAAGTTGAGTATAATTGGTTTTAAACCATTGAATAATTAAGATGCATGTATAAATTAATCTGAATCATGGAGTTTTAATGGATAGCGTGTTTTTCATTGAAAAGTTTATGAGCTGAATTTTCAACTCTAAAACAAACAAGGACAAAAGGACAGTTTCTGGGATGAATGTTTAATCTCTTACTTTCTTATATCCCTTTTATTATTTTAACATTTTAGGGTGTTGCTTTGCTTGTTTGTGGAGCAGTGTGATTGGGACTGGCTTTTCAATAGGCAACTGCAACCATGATTATTGGAGTTTGGATTGTGGTGTTGATGATTCTCTCAAATGGGTTATCTACAACTGGGGTTGTTTTGGATAATTCCACAATACCTGCTTTTGTAAATGTTGGAGTTCTATACTCTTTCAATACCAGTGTTGGTAGAATTGTGAAAATTGCTGTAGAAGCTGCAGTTGAAGATGTAAATTCTGATCCATCTATTCTTGGTAAAACTAAGTTGAAGGTCTCACTGCAGGAAGATTCTAAATACACAGGCTTTTTGAGCATTGCTGAGGGTACATCCTTCAACATTTATTATATTCCCTCTTTTTGTGTGTTTTAAAACTTAAAAAGCATCTTTTTAATGTAGACTTGTTACTTCATGTTTGGCTGATTATATATAGTTCTTGTTTTACATAAATTGTGTAACAGTATTGCAACTCATGGCAACACACACTGTGGCTATAATTGGCCCCCAGACCTCTACAACAGCTCATGTCATATCTCACATAGCAAATGAGCTACAAGTTCCTCTTCTATCATTTTCAGCCACTGACCCTACCCTTTCTTCACTTCAATTCCCATTCTTTATCAGAACTGCTTTTAGCGACATTTATCAAATGACTGCAATAGCAGACTTTGTAAACCACTTTGGATGGAGGGAGGTCATTGCAGTTTATGGTGATGACGATCACGGGAGGAATGGAATTGGTGCATTAGGGGATAAGCTGGCTGAGAGACGCTGCAAGATATCATTTAAAGCACCTATGAGTGCTGAGGCAACTAGGGAGGAGATCACTGATGTGCTTGTTCAAGTAGCCCTCGCTGAATCCCGGGTTATAGTTCTTCACTCAAGTACTACTTGGGGCCCAAAAGTGTTAAGTGTCGCAAAGTCTTTAGGAATGATGGAAAATGGGTATGTTTGGATTGCAACTAATTTTCTGTCTACTCGGTTGGATATAGATAGTCCTCTATCTTCAGATGTAACAGATGACATTCAAGGAGTCATTACACTTCGTATGTATATACCAGATTCAAAGCTCAAGAAATGGTTTGTTTCTAAGTGGAAAAACTTGACTATTGGAAAGACTGCTAATGGTTCCCTTGGTTTGAGTACTTATGGTATCTTTGCATATGATACTGTTTATGTGCTTGCTCATGCACTTGAGGCATTTTTCAAACAAGGCAACCAAATCACTTTTTCAAATGATCCAAAGTTATCTGAACTACGTGGGGACAACATGCATCTTGATGCTGTGAAAATCTTCAATGAAGGGAATCTGTTGCGTAAAAGTATTTATGAGGTTAACATGACTGGTGTATCAGGTCTGTTTAAGTATACATCTGATGGAAACCTTGTTAATCCAGCATATGAAATCATCAATGTAATTGGATCAGGCACTCGGAGGATTGGTTATTGGTCCAATTACACTGGTTTATCTATTGTTCCTCCAAAATCACTGTATTCAAAGCCACCTAACCGTTCCAGTTCAAGCCAAAAGCTACTCCCTGTGTTTTGGCCAGGAGAAACAACTCAAAAGCCTCGTGGTTGGGTGTTTCCAAACAATGGAAGGATGTTAAAAATTGGAGTGCCAAAAAGAGTTAGTTACCGTGAATTCATTTCTCAAGTACAAGGCACTGACATGTTCAAGGGATTCTGCATTGATGTATTTCTTTCTGCAGTGAACTTGTTGCCCTATGCTGTCCCTTATAAATTTATTTCATATGGGGATGGTTACAGCAATCCTAGTAACACTGAGCTTGTCCGTCTGATAACGGCGGGTGTGAGTATCATTGCAATAACATTTGTGAAGTTTAGATGTTTCATGTGGTACTTTTCTGAGACCAATTTTTTTCTCACCATACAGGTCTTTGATGCTGCAGTAGGTGACATTACAATTACTACAGAAAGAACAAAGATGGTGGATTTTACTCAGCCATATATTGAGTCTGGTCTAGTAGTTGTAGCATCAGTTAAGAAGACAGATTCCAATGCTTGGGCATTTTTAACACCGTTCACACCAAAGATGTGGACTGTCACGGCTGTCTTTTTCCTACTAGTGGGAGCTGTTGTCTGGATTTTAGAGCATAGGCTGAATGATGATTTTAGGGGACCTCCCAAGAAACAAGTGGTCACAATTTTGTGGTAAGGAAAGCTTCTCTTGCTATCTCCTCTCTCTTTGCTCAAGATCACCCTACCCATGCTGCTGATCCCTACATTAATCATACTGGATTCACTTATGGCTTTAGATATATTTGTAACTTCTTCTATTTGTTTTATATTTGACAGGTTTAGTTTTTCAACTATGTTTTTTGCTCACAGTAAGTGTCAGTACTTTGTCTTATGTGACATCTATGGTCCATGTGTAAGTGGTGGCTACTTTTTTATCAACTTGCTCTTTTTATGTACCATGCAGGGGAAAATACTGTGAGCACTCTTGGTCGCTTTGTGCTGCTTATCTGGTTATTTGTAGTTCTTATTATTAATTCAAGTTACACTGCAAGCCTGACTTCAATCCTCACAGTGCAACAACTTTCTTCACCTGTTAAAGGCATTGAAAGTTTAGTAAACAGCAAAGAGCCTATTGGCTATTTGCAGGGTTCTTTTACTCGAACTTATTTGATTGAGGAAATTGGTATTGATGAATCCAGACTAGTTCCTCTTAAAACAGCAGAAGAAACCACAGAAGCACTGGAAAAAGGTCCACAAAAGGGTGGTGTTGCTGCATATGTTGATGAACGTGCTTACATCGAGCTCTTCCTTTCTAGCCGCTGTGATTTTAGTGTTGTAGGTCAAGAGTTCACCAGAAACGGTTGGGGATTTGTAAGTATCTCCTTACCTGTGGTCCTAATTCTCTTTCTAAGTCATGATCTTCACAATGTAATTTGAAACTGGCATGCTTTTCTCTTTCTTTTTCTATTCCTCCTTTTCTAAAGAAAGCGTGGATGTATTTTTCTCTTGATTTGAAACTTTGTTCTGCTATCTATGTTGTCCATTGTAATATGTCAAGCATGAAGCTATACTAAATCCAGAGAAAACTTCACTGCAAAATCTTAATGTACAAGTTTATAATTATTCCTAACTTCGAATATTAAATAGACTCCATTTTTGTGGTCTAACATAACTCTGCACAGCCATCAAGTTTAAAATAAATATCCTACATAAGAATACTTGCATACATTAGTAATATTATCATAGATATTCATAATTTTCAATGTTTTCTACACATTCTCCCTGCCATGTTGCAACTTTATTTAGTCAACGCAAATTTGACTGAACATCATGCAGCTGTTGCTTGATTATTTGTTACCAGAATGTATTCTCTTTCCTATTAACTACTGAATTGAGCTCAACTTGTTGTTCTAAAACAAAAAGAAAGTGTTGGTAGGGCATTACCTTCCCTGCATTTTTAAGCTACATATTTTGTCATGTTAGCAACTTAGCACTGTAATTTTGTTCAAGGTTAATTGTTAGTTCCCTTATTTGAAGTTATCAAATAATGGTAGCATTTCACTACTTCTTGTCCTTCATTTTTGTTCAGGCCTTTCCGCGAGACTCACCATTAGCAGTTGACCTCTCAACTGCCATATTGGAGTTGGCAGAGAATGGTGATCTACAAAGGATCCATGACAAATGGCTTTTGAACAGTGCTTGCTTATCACAAGGTGCCAAGCTTGAAGTGGACAGACTCAATCTGAGAAGCTTTTGGGGCCTCTATTTAGTGTGTGGATTGGCATGTGTGCTTGCTCTCGTCATATATCTTATTCAGACCATGAGGCAGTACCATAAGCACTGTCCTGAGGAAATTGAATCTTCTGCTTCTGTTGGGCAAGGCTTAGGATCTTCACGTTTGAAGACATTCCTTTCATTTGTTGATGAAAAGGAAGAGATAGTTAAGAGCCGGTCCAAGAGAAAGAAAATGGAGGGCATATCATACAGAAGCACAAGTGAGGTTGGATCCTCCATCTCCTCCAACAAAAGATATTCTCAGTCATCATCAAACATTATTGATTCAGCTAATGAAACCTAACTGTTTATTTGTTCCACATGATTTTGAACCCTGTTCTACTAACTATTTGCGTATCACTCTTTAATCTTCATTTCCTAATGCAACTGTTTATTTTTACATTTGGTTTTCTTTTTCTTAAGTACATAAGTTTGTAGGATATATCACTTTGTGTGTGACTGTAATCTAAGAGAGTGGGGGACAAGGTGCCTTTGCAAATTATATTCTTAATGATTTATGTGGGATACATAACATTGAATGAAATCATCTCAATATTATTTAGAATGCGATAGACTAATTGTTGACTTTCATCTGTTAGCATAACAGCACTATAATAGATAACCTTGGTTATTAGGACTGATATAGAATAGTTATTTTAAAAATATATAAATAAAAGTAGCTTAGTGTGTAGTTGTCCTAGGGTATTTCAGTAGAATTATACATTGATTTATGAATGTGATCTTATATTTTAATAAAATAAATTTAATAATTGATTTCTGTTTGTGTTATTGTATGTTGTTTGACATTTATTGTGTTAATTAATTTAATATTTTCTTAAAATAAAATAATTAAATATAATATTATAAGCATTACTTTTATATATAAAAGTAAGAAGTTTAGGGTTACACCAAATATAATTTTTTTGGGTCTAAAATAAGGTCTTTAATTTTTATTTTTATTTTTGTAATAACCATCTCATTTGTATTAATAACAACTAATTGATAAATAAATTCCATTAATTAAAAAATCATAAGAAGAAAAGGTTTGCAATTACTCTTATACTGTAGTGGGTGATGAGCGGTTTCATGTTGTGTTTAAAAGATTTGTCGCAAATTCTCATCAAAATTTAAACAAATTAATATAGTACTAGGGTTACCTTAGATTGTCTCCCATGAACATTGGCTATTAATCTTTATTAAACATGTTGAAGACATTAATTGAACAAGCAATTAAAATGGGGGGTTTTGTAGTTTCAAATCAATATAAGGAGCAGTAAACAAACAAGTTTAATTAATTCAAACAATAGAAAGCAGCAATCTTTAGTTCATTCACATAGATTCTATCTTCATTTCACTCAAGATTTAACACTCATCCTCTCTCCCAACGAAAATCAACCTTATGATCCCAACGAAATTACGCAATTTGTTAGGCTCTAATCCCTCATCCCAAGATTACGCAACCTTAGAATTAAACCTAGGATTAAGCAATCCCTAGTTTAAAATCTCCTTAAAACGAATTAGGATTAATTAAGCAATGTCCCCCTCATTCACCATTAATTCAATTCAAGAGGCAAAGATGAAGTAATTCATGAAAAGAAAGGAGTTATATTATCATTAAAATCAAGGAACTCAAAAATTCATGTGAACTCACTAAGGATTACACAAAATTTAGCCCTCCATGGAAATGGGGGTCAAAAATACAGTTTGGAAATGCAGAAAACTCATTGGCATTAATGTAAAAGCAAGAGAAATGAGAAACCAAACCCTAGATTGGACCTTTGGCTGTCACCCAAGGTTGTCCTAAGCTCTGAAAAATGTCCTAATTTAGTAAGGAAGAGAAAAGGTACAAAAAGTGTAAGAGCTCTCTACCCTAATTTGGCAAAAATCTATTTATACTAAGGTTGACGCCCTCCAAAGTGATTACTTTCATTCTTTCATAGTAGACACACACAGCATCAGTTAGTTTTTGCCTTTTTATAGTGTCCACTATCAACTTTGATAGTAGACACGCGTAGCATTGGTACATTTTGGGCTCTCTGAAGTTGTCACTATGAACTTTAATAGTAGCTATGCGCAGCACCTTCAATTCTGCACGCTCTGGAGTAACTACTATGAACTTTCATAGTAGCCACGCGCAGGCTTAGTGGATTCTGGGCTGCTGTAGTCGTCACTTTTAACTTTGAAAGTGAACACTTTGGTCCCTTTGCTGGAAGTAGCTTGCTGTAGTGGTCACTATCAATCTTGAAAGTAGTTACTTTCACCTCAAATTCTTCAAAATCCAATAATTCTTCAAAATAAGCTTAGGGATTCCTGCCACATTATTCAAATGATCAAAACATGTAAAATAAACTATCTAAATTAATGTAAATTAACCAAAAACTAAGAAACCTATATTATTTAGCCTAATTGGAATATTCATCTTATTTACACTATCTAAGTCTATTCTTTTCTATAAAAAAATAATAAATGATGTATAAAAATTTAGTAAAATGTGGATTTATCACAACCCCAAACTTAAACTTTTGTTTGTCCTCAAGCAAACCAAAATTCAAGGACTTAAGTAATAAGGGTTGGACTTATAAAAAAAAAAGAATTAAAATTTTTTCTGTTCCAATCTTTCAACTCTAATATACACTTCCTCCATTTTAAAATCATGGAGTCATTCAACCAAGAAAGCACACCCATATCAATTAATTTTATGCAATGTCCCATACAAATGAAACAAAAAATCAACAAGGTTCATTATACTTCACACAATGCAAAGAAATTATCTAGCTCACAAGGTGGTGTTTCTACCCTACCATATGCTTGACCATATTCTTAATCTCCTTTGCTTTAATACAATGATTTACCTATCAAAAGGACTTGGTTGGTCACAAATAGGGATAGGTAAGGTTCAATTTGATCAAGGAGGGTCAAAAGCTCAAGTGAGTTTTCAAGATAAGGGAATCCTTTTGGGTGAATGAATACAATCAATTAGAATGAAACGCATCAAATGAGGTAGCCTAAGAGGTTCAAGTATTCTTTCACCTTGTTTTCCATCATTTTTCATTATGTGAAGATCTCTTCAATCTCTTGGACCTTGCTTCATTTTATTTTCTTTCATTTTTCATTCTTTCTTTTATAATTTCTTGGACTTTGGCAACCACTCTTTTTCTTCAAATTTAAGCAAAAAATTTTTTTTACATATATTAGTAACATGTATGATGTCCACCACCCCAAACTTGAGAGGTTGCTTGTCCTCAAGCAACTACAGTCAAAATCAACACCCCAAACTTAGTGTTTGCATTCACTCTTGATGTTACTCAAAAGAAATACGTTTTTGATAGAAGAAAAAAAAATATTTTGGCAGACTAAGTTTGGCAAAAGAAGGGAATGTAATACAATAAGGTGCAAGGGTGGGCAATAGTGAGTGGGTGTGTGTAAATGAGGCCTCAATCATCTAGATAAAAATTGCATAATAAATATTTAACTAAGAAACAGGGTAAGTTCTAGAGGATAGATGCAAAATTACATGGAATATACACACAGAAAAGAAATTAGGGGCTCAATTCTCTACCATGGTAAAAATGGTGATAACTACTTAATATCATGTGAGGATAATTCACCTTGCAAGAAAAGATATTCAACATGGCATAGAGAGAGAATTATTTACAAAAGTAGAGTGTGTTCATGAATTGAATGAAAATTGTCGCAAGAGTCTAGAATTGGAATTACAAAATTAGATTCAATGAAAAAGAGAAAGAACAAAGAATTATTTTTGTATTTTGATGTATAATTGTGCATGAAAAATGAGGTTAAGAGTATATGAAATAGAGACAAAGAACTTCACCCCCCTTCATGAATGATATTGCCTCAACTCATGGGCAAAAAATGATGCTCCTCTTGATGGAATTGAGGGCATTCGCTGCACTAAGAGACAATAGATGCAGCACCAGAAGAAGCAAAATAAACTCAAACTCAGATAATATATATATATATATATATATATATATATATATATAGCATAAAAGGGTTAACTTGCTATTCAGAGTAGAAGTAATAAAGGAAAATTAAAAGCAGAGAAAATAAATGAAAAAGTGTATTAATTACAGGAAAATTAGCAGAAAAAATATATACAATGAAATGGAAGGGTAAATAAATAACATAAATAGAAATTTAAAGCTAAATAGCATCCTCATCAGAGCTGGAAGAGAGGTTATCATCAGCTGAGTCAGTGTCTATGTCTTCGTCATCCTTCTCCTCTGCTGCTACAACTAGGTCTAGTACTTGCTCCTCTTCTGAGCTGCTATCTTCCTCTTCCTCCTCCTCTTCTGCTGTAGGTGTAAAAGGTGGAAGATCATTCTGAACATAGTAAATCTGTTGTGCAGTCATCCCTATCTTCTTCCCCATGTTGAGCAACATAGTCTCTGTGAGGGTCAGAGCAGCTTTCTAACCAGCATGTATGGCATCCTGTCGCAGAGTTATTTGCTTCAGCTGGTACTTCATGTTGGGAGGGAAGTCTTTCTTTCCTGCAGCTTGAGGGGGTACCTCTAGGGCTAGGCTCTTCTTAGCCTTAAACAGCTCCTTCACCATAACTGTGGTGATGCAAGGAGCTACTCTGATTTTCTGTTGATATTCCCCAAAATCAACTCCAACATCCTGGCAGAGCATAGAGATGATTTGAGTTCCTACTTCAGCCATAGAAGCTTCTAGAAGGCCTTCCATGTTTAAACTCTCAATGAATAAAGTGGAAAAGGTGGAAAAAATTATAAATAGTAGTTAGGAGTTCAGATTTAAAGACTTTTCTAATCATTTTGTCATTTTTCACTTTCTAACTGTTTTAACTTCCAAAGAAAGTCAAAGAGAAGCATTGGGAGCAACTTTCAAACTTCATTGCTAGACAAATTAGGGTAAAAATTAGGTCTTGGAAGATGTTCTTTGTTCGTGGGTAAGTGTACCCATCAAAAAGTAATAAAGAATTTTTGAAAAGAGTTCCCAAGTTATCGTCCCACAAAGATTACTTTCAAATACCAAGAATAGCTTGATTCGATTGTTTAAATGTAATAGGATTGTAATAGACCAAAAATAGAGCTTAATGTTAACAATAATTTAAAAGAATAGTAATACAATGTATGAGAAAGATCAAATGAGATAAGCCTAGGACTTATAAGTTCACCTACTACATTTCTTTTTGTTCTAATTAATTTAATCTTGATATTGGTATTCAAATATTTGCCAACCACTCATAATTAGTTCTATTAACACACAATGATTATGCAATGTCAATATTCTTTTCCTGAGCAAACACCACCAATGATTATGCAAGGTAATTAATCGAGAAAGCATGAAGATGCTATGAGTTTGTTAATTCAATCACGGCTAAAAGAAAGGAATTAAGTGTAATTAATCTAACTCCTTATCTCGTTTTATCCTATAGTTTTGTTAATTACATGTGATACGATCGCCTACAATGCAACTAACTATGGGATGCTAAGGGTGATCAAATCTTAACATACACAATATAATCTAATAGAATAAAACTAAACATAAAAAAAAAAAAAAAAACCAATACTAACAT